CAACTCATGGGATCTACGCCCACCGCCACCGCGGGTCGCCAGATCCACGCCCTCCGCCACCGGATCTGTGCTCGGTGGTGGGAACAGAGGTGAAGGGGCGCCGGATCCACGGCGCTGGAGGTGCGTCGTCGCCAGGGAAGGCCATGGTGGAGTTGCGCCGCTGCTCGGAAGTTGGGGGAGGGGTACCGCCGCCACCGCTCGGGTAGGGGAGGGCCCCGAGCCCCGCGCGCGAAGATGGTGACTGGAGAGGAGAGAGCCAAGAGCGCCGGAGGAGGTGAAGGGAGAGGAGAGAGTCTAGAGAGGCGAGAGGTGCGGCTACGGGTGAGGGAACGGGTGGTGTGTGCGAAAACCCCTAAGTGGCCTACGTGAACACAAATAACGGCCTTCTGGGCTTATTTGGGCCTGGGGCCATTTTTTCGAGGCAATCAAAAAACGCTCGCCTCCAAAAATAGATTTGTGGAGGCGGAAGTTTTAAGGCCACCGCCTCCGAAAATGGACCATTTTTTGAGGCGGTTGTCTTAAGACGTTCGCCTCCGTAAATCGATTTTCTGATGCGGTCATTTTTTGGTGCCTCAGTAAATAAAACGACCGCTTCCGTTAGTCGTCGGGCATTTTACGAGGCGGTTGGATTTTGTGACCGCCTCGGTTAATGTTTGGGCAGTGTCTCGTAAAATCATGTTTGTAGTAGTGGTAGGACGACTCAGTGAGGAGGCTTGAGCTAGACAGAGGTACAAGTGTTGGAGTTGTTCCAAATTCACTCCAGGATATAGGCCAGGCTTCTGACGGAGCGAAGCGGAGGCCCGTCGCCGGAGGCTTGGGCCGGAGCGTAGCGGAGTGGTGGAGAATTTTGTTCGCGTGAATTTAATGATTATTGCAAATCGGAAGGCATTGTTAGGCATCACACCATACCCCATACTCCACAACAGAATGGTGTGGCCGAACGCATGAACAGAACCATCATGTCCAAGGCCCGTTGCATGCTGTCTAATGCCAGGATGAGCAAGCGTTTTTTAAATGAAGCCGCTGCTATCTTGCTGTTACTTGATAAATAGGTCGCCTTCTATTCCACTAAATAAAAGAACTCCCATTGAGGTATGGTCTGGTACGCCTGCTGATTATTCACAGTTGAAAGTTTTTGGATGCACTGCTTATGCTCATGTTGATAATGGAAAATTAGAGCCTAGAGCTGTTAAGTGTCTTTTCCTTGGTTATAGTTCGGGAGTCAAAGGCTATAAATTGTGGAATCCTGAAACAGGAAAGACTTTTATGAGCAGGAGTGTTGTTTTCAATGAATCTGTGATGTTTACTGATAGTTTGCCCTCAGATCATGTTCTAGAAAAGGAGCTGCAGCGTATGCGCATGCGCGATGGTGGAGCATGTTGATGATGATCTGGTGTGCGGTGGAGCCTATTGATGAGCATGGTGACCATGATAATGATGTTCTTTGAGGATGATGCTCATGATGATGTTCAAACAAACTCCTCCTATTTTGCGATTAGAGGAGGATTTACCTATTGCTCAACGCAAGTCAAAAGGACAATTGCACCTCCTAAGCGTCTTATTGAAGAGTGTAATTTGTCTTACTATGCTTTGAGTTGTCTTTGAACAGGTGGAGAATGTTCATGAGCCAAACAACCTATAAAGAAGCTATTCGTTGTGGTGATCTTGAGAATTGGATTTCTGCTATGCATGAGGAGATGCGATCTCTTGAGAAGAAAACGATACATGGGAGATTGTACCTTTGCCTAAGAATAAGAAGACCATCATTTGCAAATGGATCTTCAAGAGAAAGGAGGTTTATCTCCAAGCGAGCCTCCAAAGTATAAGGCAAGGTTAGTTGCTAAAGGCTACTGATCAAATTCGGTGTTGACTACAATGATGTGTTCTCTCCGGTGGTAAAACACAGTTCAATTCAGTACTTTCCTTAGTATTGTTGCTTCACATGATCTTGAGCTTGAGCGGTTAGATGTGAAGACTGCGTTTTTGCATGGAGAGCTTGAGGAGGACATATACATGGACCAACCGGAAGGGTTCATAGTGCACGGCAAGGAAAAATATGTGTGCAAGTTGAAGAGATCCTTGTATGGTTTGAAACAGTCCCTCGTCGATTGGAACAAAAGGTTTGATTCATTTATGTTAGCACACGTTTTAAAAGATCTAAGTATGATAGTTGTGTTTACATCAAGCATGTTAATGGATCACCTATATATTTCTTTGTTATATGTTGATGATATTTGATTGTTGCCAAGAGTAAGATTGAAATCACTAAGTTAAAGAAGCTATTGAGTAGTGAGTTTGATATGAAAGACCTTGGTAGTGCTAAGAAAATTCTTGGTATGGAAATTAGTAGAGACAGAAAATCTAGTTTGCTATTTCTTAGTCAACAAAATTATATCAAGAAAGTTCTTGACGTTTCAACATGCAAAATGCTAAGGTGTTAGTACCCCTATTGCACCTCACTTTAAGTTGTCACCACCAAAGTGTCCTAGTATGATCTGAGAGATTGAATATATGTCAAGGGTTCCTTATTCTAGTGTTGGGTCTTTGATGTATGCCATGGTTTGCTCTCGTCCAGATTTGTCATATGCTATGAGTCTTGTTAGTAGATATATGTCTAATCTGGCAAAAAGAACATTGGAGGGCGATTCGGTGGATTTTCGGTACCTCGAGAGGCACGCAGATTGATTCTGTTTAAAGTTTGGAAGAACCGATAAGGGTCTTATTGGCTATGTGGATTCTCGATTATCTTTCTTGATCCGACGGCGAAGATCACTTACAGGTTATGTGTTTCTTGTTGGCGATTGTCTTTGTGAGTTGGAGGCTACTACTACGATCGGTTGTTGCTTTGTCTACTCTTGAAGCAGAATATATGGCTATTTGTGAAGCGTGCAAAAAAGAATTAATTTGGCTGAAAAGTTTGTCTGTTGAGCTTTGTGGAGTTGAATCTTGCATAAGTTTGCCTTTGTGATGACCAAAGTGCAATTTACCTCACTAAAGATCAGATGTTCCATGAGAGAACTAAGCACATAGATATCAAGTATCATTTTGTGCGTGATGTGATTGAAGAAGGTAAGTGGAAGGTATGCAAGATTAGTACTCATGATAATCCTGGCGATGATATGATGACAAAGCTCTGTTCCTGTTGCTAAGTTTGAGTGTGCTCAAGCTTAGTTGGTTTAATTGGATAGTCCAAGAGACTATTGTTGGCACCAAAGTGGTTTTCTATCTTTGGTATGTTCGGGATGAAGGGTTGATTTATGATACAAGATGAATTTGTCTCAAGGTGGAGTTTGTTGGAGTTGTTCCAAATTCACTTGATTCCCAAGCTTGCGAAGCCGTCTGCCGGAGGCTTGGGTAAGCCCAAGCCGCCCATCGTGTCTCGCCTCTGTCTGATATATATACCCTTGCTAGGGTTTCGTGGAGACTTGATTCTCTTGTAAGCCGCCATAGGCGTGTAACCCAAAAAACTCTTGAGATAGTGAGATTGTTGCTGGCTGGTGCCCGTGGTTTTTCCCCTTCACATCGGAGGGGTTTTCCACGTTAAATCGTGTGTCTCCTCTGTGGTTTGATTCTTTACTTCATATTCCTATACGTCGTTCATAACAACAAGTTGTAATTAACAACAATAGTTATTGTGGAGTTTTATTTTTCAGATATACTACAATAAGTCGTTTAATTAGAAAAGCGATACACCTAGAGTGGGCAATAATGGGTCATCACATTTGAACGATGGATCTTTTGAGGATTTTTAGTAAACAAAAGTCCAAATTACTCCAATTAAGTTTTACATGTCTAGATAACCCCATATACTAAGAGTATATTTGGTAGAGCTCTTTCTACTCTTGATTCTATATGTTATAATTAAGTGAATCTGCCGTTGAAAGTGATTCCCTCGTAATTATCTCGGATCAGAGTGAAGTAGAAGATGCTACTTATTTCAACTCCCGTCCTTCTAGTATATTTCAAAGAATCACTTAACGAAATCAACGCTGAATTAGTTCACCGGAAATCAACATAGAATTGATTCGGCCAAGAAACTTCTCTGGGACCTGATCTGTGAAATTGATCCTAACATTTAATTCAATTTGTTCTAGTCGGTCCAGTTTGTCGCTTGACAGGATTTGTTTAATTTTTATTTCTCATGTACAAGTTGGGTCTTAATTTTAAATTTTGTAAGGTGATCAACGACGAACATCATATAGCTTACGTATTTAAGCATAAATGATGATTTTTCTCATCAAATGCTCCAGCCCCGCAGGGAATTTCCCATCTCGTGGTCGTGGACTCCGGACCGGCCGCCCTCACCGCCTTCTGGTAACCTTCCCTTTTTCCCTGACTTCCCCTGCACTGCATCTGCATCATCATCCTACATCCTATTCCTGCCGGCTAGCTACTCAAGCAAGCAGAAGCAGTCGAGGCCAAGCAAAGCTTCCTCCTCTGACGGTCCATCTGCTCTTGCTGACCATCCACCGGTAACAGAGTAGTGAGTGGTACGGTCGTCATCAGCTGGCAGCTTATTAATTAATTAATTAATTAGTGATTAAAGTTAACTAATCCGACACTCTTCCCTCTGCTTGTCCAGTACAGCTAGCTACTCTCTCTGCTCTCGTCGATCTGGATGGAGAAGAGATACACGTGTCCTGGTGGAAGGCAGGCCTGGATGAACTGAGGTGGAAGCATCCCAGTCCATCCATCCATTCGTCGATCTTCCGGGCCAGGCCAGCCCAGAGTGTTTGACTGACCCCGAGACTCTTCCTCCTATGCAAGCAGGCCATCCCATCCGAGAGTAGTTATCGTCGAATCCGAGTAAATAAATATAATTTGCCTCCACTCACTCTCACTTCCAGAAGCAGCAACCACTCCTCTGTTTCTTGCCTTTCCTTTGTAGCCAGGCAATAAACTTGCAGTTCAAATTAAAGCAGCAGCAGCAGCAGCAGCAGCAGCAGGGAGATCGACCTATTAGATCGGTGATAGGAGCGCGCGATCTGGTTATTCGGCACATGGCGGTGGAAGCGGTTCTTGATGCGGCAGGGACGACGCGGTGGTGGCTGCAACGGATCACGTCGCCACGACGAGAAGCAGCAGCGGCGCGGCGGCAGAGGAGGAGGAGGGTGTCAATTCGGTGGTGCAGCAGCAGGAGCATGGCCAAGGGTTGGCGAAGCGGAAGCGCTCCAGGCGCCGCCGCGACCGCGAGCAGCTGCGGCCCCGCAAGGAGCCCACCCAGGAGGAGTGAGTACCTGGCGCTCTGCCTCGTCATGCTGGCCACTGCCCGCCGCGACATCCCAGCCCCTGTCCCCGCGCCGCCGGCGCAGGGGCAGCAGGACCACGGCTGCTCCGTCTGCGGCAAGGCGTTCCCGTCGTACCAAGCGCTCGGCGGGCACAAGGCCAGCCACCGCACCAAGCCATCGCCGCCGGCGCCGGCAATGGAAGTAGTAGGGGATCATCACGAGGAACAGAAGCCGGTGCTGCCGTCCTCCTCGTCCGCTGGCTCTTCCGCCGACGGCGACAACAACAAACCCGCGGCGCACGAGTGCAACGTGTGCGGGAAGGCGTTCCCGACGGAGCAGGCGCTGGGCGGCCACAAGCGCTGCCTCTACGACGGCACCATCGGCAGCGCGCGCGTCCTCCTCCTCCGCGGCCACCAGCAGCCGCGCCACGCCACCGCCGTCGGTCGCCTTCGACCTGAACCTGCCGGCGCTGCCGGACATGATGGTCCCCGAGCGGTGCTCCGCGGCGGAGGACGACGAGGTGCTCAGCCCGCTCGCCTTCAAGAAGCCTCGCTTCATGATCCCGGCTTAATCCTTAAGCTCGTCGATCAGATCAACAGTAAATCTGTTCATTAAGTGTTGAGTAGTTGTGCTTGTACACCTAGCTAGCAGCTTGAATAGTTCGTAGCCTGTCGTAGGTGGTGGTGATTAGTTGGATCGTGTATATACAATAATTATACGTAAGCGCCTAGGCGCTGTTCATTATGTATATATTCTTGTTCTTATTGTTGAATTGAATTGAATTATTATTATTAGGTACAGCGTACAGGATGGCTGGTAGCGGCTGCTGCTGGCTGGTTTTGTCTCACAAGGCACACAGTGCCGTTCTAGCCGGAACAGTGTTTTTCTCTCACAATAAATCAGCCAGAACAATGTTTTGATTTATTTTTTCAGCGAAGCGAACGGTCCGATATAAGAGAAGCCGAGTAGGTAGAACAAGGATCAATTCTTTCATTGGTTGAATTGCATTGGTGTATGTTAGTATATGCATGTACATGTATATATGTGATATAAATAAAAAGGTATATACAAATACTAACATGTTAGATATGGAAGAAAATAAAACAAGGTTATTGGTTTTTTCCCCTTCCCAGCGACAAGAGGCCGGTCTCTCGGAGAACTGAAGTACTCCCTCCATATTGTTAATTCAAGTTGTTTTGGACAAGACTTGGGTTAAACATTGGGAATATAAATTATGAATAACTTTTGAGTTGTTGAGTTTGAAAATATGAAAACCATATGAATAGATTTGTCTTAAAAAATACTTTCATAAAAATATACATATATCACTTTCTAATAAATATTTTTATAAAAAATAAGAAGTCAGAGTTATACTTTGAAAACTGTGTCGCTGTCCAAAACGACTTGAATTACCAATACGGAGGGAGTATAAAATATTATGTGATCAAGGGGATGCCTCACTCGGATAGGAGAACAGAGTCGAAGAACAGAACAGAAATTACGGAAAGTATTTTATCATACGGAGGAATGCTTGGAAGTAAAGGAATTTAGACAGATTACATCCATGACCTCCTCCCTCTCCCAGTACTCCGATATATATATATATATATATATATATATATATACCTACATCTTCCACTCTGGGCCGGCTACTTTGACATTGGGCCGACGCAGTCGGACGGGCCGGGCCGGGCCTGCACTTCTGTCGACGGAGTCGAGTAGCTCTTGACAGCGTAGCCTTCTTCAGAGTGTGGCTTCAGAACAGCAGATGAAGGAGTGCTGACAATCCCCCGGTCTTGAAAGCCGGCATGACCCCAGGCCGGCGCTTTCGGAAAGCGCTGCTCTAGAGGCACCAGCAACTCCCAGGTGGCCAGGGATGGCGGCATCTGTGACCAGTGAACGAGTACTTCCTCCGCTGGAATAGCATCAGTGGTCCAGCGGCGATCCAGAATAGCGAGGGGCACCTGAAACTGTGTGAGTTCACCTGGAATAGTATCAGTGACCGACAGCTTACCATGTGAGGCCTTCAGTTAGGAGACATGAAAAACCGGGTGGATCGAAGAGGAAGATGGCAGGGCCAATTTGTATGCGGCAGCACCGACACGAGCCAAAATCTTGTATGGTCCAAAGAAGCTGAACGAAAGTTTCTGATTAGCACGCCTTGCCAAGGACAATTGCACATATGGCTAGAGCTTTAAGAAGACCCAATCGCCCACAGAAAATTGGCGCTCAGAGCGGTGTTTATCGGCTTGGCGCTTCATGCGAGTCTGAGCTCTGCCCAGATGCTGCTGAATCAATGCAATCATGACAACACGCTCATCCAGCCACGAATTGAGGTCAGAAACAGGTGTTGCAGCAGTTGAATTGAGACCAAAGTGCCGTGGTGGAAAGCCATATAGAACTTCAAATGGAGATCGATCCAATGAAGAGTGGTAGGACGAGTTGTACCTAAACTCGGCGAGAGAAACCCACATGATCCACTTGGAGGGGCAGGCATGAGCAAAGCATCGCAAGTAAGTCTCCAGGCACTGGTTAACCCGCTTGGTTTGCCCATCCGTTTACGGGTGGTAGGCGGTGCTGATGCGCAGAGATGTACCCGAGAGATTGAAGAGAGTCTTCCAGAAGGCACTTGTAAATATGCGATCACGGACTGATATGATGGCAAGAGGCATATCGTGGATGCGGTAGATTTTATCCATGAACAGGCGTGCCACGTTAGCTGCAGTGAATGGATGGCGCAGAGGAATGAAGTGCGCATACTTGGACAACTTATCAACAACCACTAGCAGTGCGTTGGCTGAGCCAGAACACGGAAGACATTCAACAAAATCCATACTGATAACTTCCCAAGTAGAAGTGGGTATTGGAAGAGGCTGTAGAAGGCCGGGAGAGTGGGCCCGATCTGGTTTAGCGCGCTGGCACACATCACAGGCGCGAACGAAGTCAGTAGTGGCGGCGCGCATACCAGGCCAGAAGAAAAATTGTCGAAGCTTCTGGTAGGTAGCATGGCCGGAGTGGCCGCCCAAGGGGATGGAATGCATGGCCTCTAGAATTTGCAACTGCAAATTGGAGTTGTGAGCCAGCCAAATACGTTGCTTGTAACGGATGGTGCCATTGAGGAGGGAAAAGTGTGGCAGTGCATCTGGGTTGAGTGCCAATTGAGCTAGAATGTCCTGAGCCAGTGGACTGTCAGCATATGAAGTGACCACTTTAGATAACCACTGCGGAGAAGGAGAAGATATCGCCATGAGAGTGTCCTCAATATTGCGGTGAGACAGGGCATCTGCCACAGTGTTGTCTGCCCCTTTCTTGTAAACTATCTTATAATTCAATCCCAGCAATTTTGTGAAGACCTTTTGCTGCCATACAGTGTTGAGCCGCTGCTCATTCAAATGGGTCAAGCTCTGGTGATCAGTATGTATATAGAATTCTCCTTGGAGAAGATAGTGACGCCAATGATCGACAGCGAGCAGAATTGCGAGATACTCCTTTTCATAAGTAGAGAGACCTCGGTTGCGGGGACAAAGAGGCTTGCTGATAAAGGCAATAGGGTGGCCATCTTGATGAAGAACGGGGCCAATACCAACACCACTTGCGTCCGTGTCAATGTGGAAAGGCCGCTGGAAGTTGAGAAGGGCCAGTACAGGGGCCGAACTCAAAGCAGTCTGCAGGGTTGTGAAGGCTGTTTGCTGTGATGGTGTCCAGACAAATGGCTCATCCTTCTTCAGTAATGTTGTCAGCGGCTGGGCAATAATGCCGAAGTGGTGCACGAATTTGCGGTAATATCCCGCGAGCCCAAGAAAGCCGCGAAGGGCGCGTGTAGATGTGGGAACTGGCCAATCAAGAATTGCCTGCACCTTAACTGGGTCGGTAGCGACGCCATCAGCAGTAAGAACATGACCAAGATAGGCGATAGAGCGCTGAGTGAATGAGCACTTGGACAGCTTAAGCTTCCAACGGTCTTGACGAAGCCATAGCAGTACTTGGCGGAGGTGATCAATATACTCTTCCAATGAGTTACTATAGACAAGGATGTCGTCAAAGAAGACGATGACAAACTTACGGAGGCCGGGGGCTAAGGTGTAGTTCATCGCGCCCTGGAATGTCCCGGGAGCGCCAGTCAGTCCAAAGGCCATCACACGGAATTCATATTGACCCAGATGTGTCTGAAAGGCCGTTTTGTGCTCATCGCCGGATTGCAACAGTATCTGATGGAAGCCGGCTCGAAGGTCCAGTTTAGAAAACCAACCGGCTGAGTGTAATTCATCCAAAAGCTTATCAATAACAGGTGCTGGGTATTTGGATTTGACTGTCAGAGCATTCAGTTTGCGGAAATCAACACAGAACCGGTATGACTGGTCCTTCTTTTTCACCAGAAGCACTGGACATGAGAACAAACTGCTGCTTGGTTGGATGAGACCCTAAGACAGCATCTCTTGCACTTGGCGTTCGATTTCATCCTTGAGTCCGGGAGGATAGCAGTATGGGCGAATGTAGAACGACTGAGCTCCCGGGATGAGAGGTATAGCATGGTTGCAGTAACGGGATGGCGGAATGGAGTCCGGTGGTTGAAACAAGTCACTGAACTCATCCAATAACGACTGTACTGCGACAGGTAACAGTGGTGATTAAGGCATTGGAAGCAGAGGATCCAGAGCACAGACTTGCAGAAACAACTCAGATGGACGATCAGCTAAATCACCCTGCAGAACCACAGTATTACCCTCATACGGAATTATAAGCCATTTATGCCGCCAATGAACGTGCATAGGACTAAATTATTCCAACCAATCCATGCCGATGATCATATCAAAAGCAGCCTGTTGGGCAAGGTCGTCCCTAACAGATCTAAGTACGGAGCAAAGGTTTCCAGCCAAGACCGAAGGCTCAACGGAGTGAAATGCGAGAAAGGCGTCCTATAGGATTTAGGGTTTCATAACTGCCTTTCAACTCACTCTTCATGAGGTTCACCCTCCCCCTTTTATAGGTTACTGTACAGCGGGAAATTCCTTTACAAAAATACCCTTCGAAAGTATGGGTATATACTCGGGATATTCCCGTTCACAGACTAAACCTCCGGGGGGCACCTTGGGTCTTATCTTTCGCCAATTGCCTTACTTCATGGGCCTTAGCCGGCACCCATTGAAAGCCCATCTTCTAGGTCTTGCTATCTGTCTCCGCCCGGAGGCCTTCACCATCACGTCCAGCTCCTCACCGGGTCTCCGCCGTGGCTATGCGCTGAGCCTTCGCAACCTTTGCCGTCGTCCTAGAGCCTCCGCCTTCGCCGTCGTCCTAGAGCCTCTGCCTTCGCCGTCGTCCTAGAGCCTCCGCCTGTGTTGAGGACCCACGGACGTGAGTGGGGCCTTCGCTATCTCGGCCCTGTTCACCCGCCCTAAGGGTGCGGGCGGAGGCTGCCCGTGATACCTGTGAACTATCTCAATGGAAAACCACAGTATTGGTCCTTTTCTGGTTGAAATAGTGCTCATCCTTCGCGGCTCACATTTCCAAGTTACAACAGTTCCCCCCTTGAGGGTATGGTCTGATGTAGGCAGGCCGTGACCCTCAATCCGTGTTCCATGATGCTGAGTCACGAAGGCTCTTCCGGAGGCTATTCC